GGCCGACTACGACGACCTCTGTAGCCATCTTCGGGCTCATCTTCCCTGGTCGGTTTCCTAGGGGGGCGTGTTTTCTCGCGCGACAGCGTCGCCGCCATGACCTCGGACGTGGCGATGCCCTCGTGGATGGCGAGGTCGGCCTCGCCCCCTGCATCGGCGCCGCGCCTGGAGATGGGCAAGGCAGGCAACCGCAAGGAGAAGGCCGGCCAGCTCCTGATCGTCATCGCGAAGCTCGCCCTCACCACAGCCCGACAGGCAGCGCAGCTCGAGAGCGCGCGCTACACCACGATGTTCATCAGCGAGGCCGACGGCAGCCTGGGACAGGTGCGTCGCAAGAGTGGCATCGAGTACGACGGCGAGGGCAAGAGGCTCCGCGAGAGGGTCGCGGGCGGCGGGTCGGTCGACTTCAAGGCCCGCGGGCCACCTCACGTCCACCTTTTCGGCGCCATCATCAAGCGCAGCATGGAAGTTGCGGCGTCGGGGGGGGGGGGGGGGGGGGGGGCGACTCCGAACGCAGACGGGCGCAAGATCTTCCTCGAGTACTGGCAGCAGGTAATAGTCGCCAAGAAGCCTCAGGAGATCGCGGAGCAGGTCCTCCACTGCAAGTACCGCAAGGCGAGGACCACGGGAGAGGACGCCAAGGGGGTCCTGTCGTTTGTGCTGAACTCGAAGGTGCCGACCGCCAACTCTCTGCACCCGATCCTAGTGGACTACCTCTCGAAGGTGGAGAAGGCGGAGGCGGTGCACGGGCCAGCGCCGAGGGGCCCCTTGGAGCGAGAGGCAGGCAACCTGCTCCAGGCTCTCAATCAGCTTTGATGGCCAGCAGTGAGAGGCTCGCATCATTGATTGCCAGGGGAATTGTCAGCCCTGCAGTTTTGTCCGCCACGAGAGTGGCGACGGTGTACGCATCACCGCTTTTGCCCACATCTGTCGTCCAAGTGGTGAGTGAGTCCGACCCGCCGTGCACGTAGAAGGAGAGGAGCGGGAGGTGGGAGTGCCGCCGCCCCGAGCCAGCCTGTGCCTGCCGCCCCTGAACCAAATATTTTCAGGCGTGTCTCGGATAGTGCATCCCGACCCCCTGCGAGGGAGTTTATTTCTTCGAGGGGGGTCAGGGCGGAGTGTGCCAGCAACAGCAGTACCCACGGGGAACGGCTCGCGGATGGGACGGGCGGGACGTTGGAGGGTGGGTCGGGAGTGACGGATCCGCGAGTTGGTCCCCGTGCGGGGGGCACCCGCCTGGCTGCGCGCCAATCGGCGGGCCGCTCCCTGGGGCCGTGCGGGCGGCGCCCGACAGGCCACGGTGGCCACAACAATTGACCAGTCCTCTTTTCGATTGTCGCGAAGCGACGCCCAGGTGCGAGACAGCCGCGAGACTTCCGTCCTACCGCGCCCAAGGGTTCCGAGCCGAGCCGAGCTTCCTCCTCCTCCTCCCCCTCCTCCTCCTCCCCCTCCTCCTCCTCCTCCCCCTCCTCCTCCTCCTCCTCCTCCTCCTCCTCCTCCTCCTCCTCCTCTGGCTTCTTTCTGCCTTTCCTGCTCATCCCCCCGCCCCCCCTCTGCTGCCGACTAGACGTAAGAGTGACCCTGGACCGGAGTGACCTCTTGGTGCGGGGCGGCCCACTGAGGCCCCCGTGCTCCGACCGCGATGTGGTAGCAGCGTCCTGCGTTCTTGGGTTTGCCCCCTCCCCCCCCCCCGCGGCCAGCAAACAACCGCGCACCAAAGGTCACTCTTACCCAGGGTCACTCTTGCGCGCAGTCGATGCTGCTGATGGTTCCCGCGGTGTCCCGCGATGGCACGTAGCGTCCCGTGACGCAGTGTCCCGTGGTGTCCCGTGTTGTTTTGTGAGGTTGGTATTGAGATCGGTAGTGAGATCAATTTGAAGCCGATGGTGAGATCGATGATGAAATCGATCGTGATATCAAGAGTGAGCTCCATCGTGAGATCGATCTTGAAATCGATTGTGAGATCGATAATGAGATCGATAGCTATATGACCACCCTTCGGGTGATAAAGGGCTTTGTGAGGTGGGGGAGTGAACCGTCAGCTGGCAAACGCGATGTGTGTGATCACGATGATGCTGGTTACGCTCCCTGGTGTTAGCAACGACGCGTGATGACGATGTTGCGCTGCGATGTAGTGCCACTTTCGTCCGTACGTTCTACCTCGCAACCAATGTCACAGTCAACCTCACTGTCGATACCACCCATCCCATTCTAGCTATCTCATTATCGATCTCATTATCGATTGCATTATCGATACCAGGGCAAAACACCCCCGGCCAACGCCCGCCCACCGCCGACGGAACACCGACGGGACACCAACGGGACACCACAGGACACCACGGCGGGACACCCCGGGCCACTGCGCGCCCTCTGGGGGCGGAGGGGCCGTCCACTGCATCCGAATCGCCCCAGCGACGGCGGGGTCATTCCTCTCGAGCGCCCACGCGGCTTCGCCTCACCCGCACGCGCGACACGAACACGAAACCGACGCCGATTTCACTGGGGGCCTCTCCGTTCCACTGCGATCTCATCCCCCAACTTCCGACCAATACGACCACCCTTCGGGTGATCAGGAGGTTGGGTGGTGGGGGGGAGAGAATCAATTTCTGGCAAATGCGATGGGTGTGATGATGATGATGCTGAGGATGATGATGCCGATAACGCGCCCTCGAGATAGCGACGACGCGTGATGTCGACGCTGCATTGCGATGTAGTGTCACTATCGTCCCCGCGTTCTACCTCACAAGCAATGTCGCAATCAACCTCACAATTGATCTCACTTTCAATCTCACTATGCATCCCATCCTAGCTATATCATTATCAATCTCACTATCGATTTCACTACTGGTACCAAGGCGGGACACCCCCGGCCACCGCCCGCCCACCGCCGACGGAACACCACCGACGGGACACCAACTGGACACCAAACTGGACACCACAGGACACCACGGCGGGAGGGACTTCTGGGCCACCGCGCGCCCTCCAAGGGCGGAGGGGCCGTCCACTGCATCCGAATCGCCCTAGCGACGGCGGGGTCATTCCTTTTGCGCGCCCACGTAGCTTCGCCTCGCACGCACGCACGACACAAACACTGAACCGAAACCGATTTCCCCGTGGGGGACTCTCTGTTCAACTGCGATCTCACCCCCGAGCCTCCGACTGTGATCGAGTGTGAGATGTATTGTCAGGTCGATTGAGAGATCACTAGTGGGATCGAGAGTGACATCGGTAGTGAAATCGATAATGGGATCGATAGTGAGATCGACTGCGAACTCGATAGTGATATCTATCGTTAGGCCGATAGCGAAATCGGCAGTGATATCGATAGTGAGATCGATACTGAGACCGATAGAGAGATCGTTCCTGAGATCTATAGTGAGATCAGTAATGCGATCGGTAGTGAGATCGATAGTGAGATCGATCGTGAGATCGATAGTGACATCGATTGTGATACGGACCTTGAGATTGGTAGTGAGCTTGATAGTGAGATCCGTAGTGAGGCTGATCCAGAGATCCAAAGCGAGATTTATGGCGTTTTGGATTTTGAGATCGATAGTGGGATCCATGCTCTGATCGATAGTGCGTGTGATTATGAGATGTATTGTCAGATCTATAGTGAGACCCATAGTGAGGTCGATCGATGAATCGATGGTAAGGTTGATTGAGTGAAATCGAATGTGAACTGGGTAGTGATATCGACAGCGCGATCGATAGTGAGATCGATAGTACGATCGATCGAGTGATTTTGCTTGTGAGGCCTGTTGTGAGATCGACAGGGTGATCGATCGTGGGATCGATAGTGAGATCGACAGTACGATCGATAGTGAGATCTATAGTTCGAAAGATAGTGAGATCGAAATTGACATCCGTAGTATAATCGACAGCGTAGTCGACCGTAAGATCGATCGTGAAGTCGATAGTAAGATCGATAGTGATATCGAACAAGATATCGATTATGAGATTCATAGTGAGAGGGATAGTGGGATCGATTGCGAGATCGTCCGTTTGATCGATTGTGAGACCGATTGAAATCTATCGAGTGAGATCGATCGTGAGATTGAAAGGGGAATCGATTGAGTGAGACGTTGGTTCCCCCCTCCCGAACCTCCTTATTTCCCGAAGGGTTGTCGTATAGGTATGCGTAACCCCCGTCTGCTGTCATCCGCGATGCGTGGGATTACTGTCTGTAGTTGTGTTCGCTTTCTTTCGCTCTCTCATGTCCCCTCCTCCCTCCCTCTCTCCTCCCGCTCCCGCGAGGGGGTGTTGGTACCAAGCAAGGGCGTTTTAGCTTACTGTTCGCCTTGATCTCCGAGCACGGTTGTGTTACGGGGAGAGGGGTGGAGGCGGGGGGACGCGGGGGGAGTGGCAGGGTGTGGGGCGACAGGAGTGAGCAGGGGCGGTATTAGGACAACTAGGACCAAAAGGGCGAGGGAAATGACGAGGGGGTGTGAGACGAGGACGAGTGGGGGGAGGGGGGCAGGTGTCAGGCATTGCGGAAGTAGGACGAGGAGAAGGGCGACGAGGAGGATGAGGCAGGGGAGGACGAGGATATTAATTGGGAGGGCGAGGAAGAGAGGGGAAGCTACGGGAGAGGAATGGATGGAGGCGGGGGAGGACGGAACAGGGACACAGTGATGATGAGGAGGGCGAGGAGGAGGAGGAGGAGGACGAGGAGGAGAAGGAGGAGGAGGGGGGCAGCAGCAGGAAATTGAGGGCCTGGGCTTTCTACACAGGGCCAACACATACCACCGGGCTGGCTCAGGCCCACGTCGGGCCCTCATTCGCCCTTCTTGGTCACGCCTGGAGGGTGCACAGTCGCACTCCTGCGCCTGGGCCTGAGTTGGTCTGGCAGTGGTGTGCATCTGCTCGCTGCTCAGACTTTTTCTTGCTTCCGCTCCCCGCAAGAGGAGGATTTCTCCCCGAGGAGGAGGAGGAGGAGGAGGAGGAGGAGGAGGAGGTCTCCTCCCCGAGCGCCCACTGCAGCCGACGCCCCTCGCCAGGCCGAGGCGCTCGAGTCCTCGCTGTCGGCGCTCCTCGGCTCCGCCCTGGCGGGGGGGGGGGACGCGCGGGCTCCGGGGCCCGCCGCCGTGGTCGCCGCCGCCGTGGGCCGTGCGTCGTCGGGCGTCGTCGTCGCGCGCCGTCCTGGTCCGTACCGCAAGGGCGCCCTCGGGGGCGCGAAGTTATTCGCGCTTCGCGGTTGGGCTCCGATTCCTCCTCGTCCTCCTCTTCGCCCCTGGGAGGCGGCGCGAGAGCGCGAAGTTATTCGCACTTCGCGCTTCGCGCAGCGCGAAGCGCGAAGTTGGGAGCTCTTGAGATCAGTAGGTCGACCCTGCCAAAGCAAGGGCACCCTTGTGTCCTGCGTCTCGCGACCCATGCCTCCTACCCTGACACGTCAATTGAGGAATGGGCCGTTTTCGGTTCGCGAGAGGGCGCCGCGGCCGTCATTTTTGCGTGTCCAGGTCCGCCGGTTTCGGTCCCAGGCCGTTTTCACTAAGGGGAGGTTTACTAAAGGGAGGTTTGTCCACCGCCGAGGAAAAGGGGTGCCCATGGCGCCACAGTCGGCCCAGATTAGTAGGTCGACCCTGCCACAGCAAGGGTACCCGAGTGTCCTGCGTCTCGCGACCCATGCCTCCTACACTCCCATGGCATTGTGCCCCTCGGAAAGGGTCTTTTGTCCTCTCGCGTGTCCTCTCCCATCAAGTCCGACTGTACCCTTCGCCTCGTTTCTCCCTTTTGGAGCCTCCTGGGTGGCCCTCGTCGCCATCCCTGGATTCGCCTCGAAGTCCTAGTCAGAGCGCACCCCCGGAGAGGTCTGGGGAGCAGCCGTATTGGTACCTTTTGGCTTCCCCAGTACCTTTTTCTTCAAATTCGTTCTTGCCTTTGGCGTGCTCGTCGTTGTTGTCGTCGTCCTGCTCGGCTTCGTTGTCGCTCTCCTCTCGGCCGCAGCCCCGGCACCCGATCCGCTGTGGGTCTGGTGACTCGCGGGGCAGGGCGTGCGGGAATGCGTACATGTTGTAGCTCTCCGTGTGGATGTTGCTTGCTTGATGACTGTGGCCTTGATTTGGACTGCGTCTTCCCTTGCGACAGGGACCCTTCTGGCGGCTGGGGAGTACCGTGCGTCTGCAGCTCGACCTGCGGATCTAAGACGGACTCCGCATTCTCGGCTCGTACAGTGGGGGCCCATGCCAAGAAACACCCTGCTCGCCTCCAGGGTGCCCTGGGTTTCTTGGTTTTCGATGGCTTTGCCATGGAAAGCGTGACGCCCCACACCAAACATCCATGAACGTTCTGGGATCTCAGGGTTGGGTGTCTAGTGAAACGTTTCTTGTGGACTGGCCTCCACTCACTTTGACGCCGAGCTTGTCCTAGCAGGGCGGGACAGCGGCACTGCAGTGGCAAACCATGCCATGGTGTGGCCCTCTTTGCCCCGGTCCTCGTGGGTGGCTCTCTCCTTGCGTACCATGTTGTCTCGGGCCTCTGCCCCAGGCTGCAGCACGCCCTTCTGTAGCCCTCCCATGTCACAGGTCTCGTCCCCTTGCCTCTTTAGCCTTAAGTCGGGCATGCGCCTCTACAGGTGGAATGTTCAAAAATAGTCAACAATAGCCTGGGGTCGATTTTAGTATTATTTTGGAAAAAGTTTGGGAATGTTTCCACTTTTAAAACATCGTCCAAAGTCCGCCTGTAGGGGGACATGCCCGACCTAGCTGTAGCACGCCCTTCTGTAGCCTTCCCATGTCACAGGTCTCGTCCCCTTGCCTCTTTAGCCTCTTTCGCTGTGGGCCTTCTGGCTGCAGGCCTCCTGACGCAAAGCCCTCCGTGCCGCAGCCCTCCACGGTGCGCATTCCCGGGGGCAACGTTCGGGGGAGACAGCGGGACAGGCTCAAGGGTGGACCAGTCGCCCAATGCTCGCCGATGTGGACCCGATAGCCCCGACCTGCCCAGGGACGAGGGCTTGCAGGGGGAGGTCGCGTCAAATCTCAGATTGGGTGTCGTCTTTTGCCTGACGGCCCCGTCAGGCCAGCCCGCGTCCCCCGAACACGACATCCCCCCTCGAAGTCGAACGCGCAGGGTTCTCCCACGACATGGCGGCGTCCCCGCTGCCCACGATTTCGATGTTCGCGCCAGCATCGGCGAGTGCAAACACGACAAGTTGACCCCGCGGGCCGCGGTTCGCGCGTCGATCCAACCGGGTGTTGGAGTCTTAGTTACTCCAGATTCGTAATAAAGGGAGGGGGGTCTCATTTCGGGGGGGTCTCTTCCAGGCTATCTTGGAGGGCCTGGGGGGTCTGGGGACGATGTCTTGGAGGGTTCTCCCACGGGGGAGGTCTGAAATGGCTTGTCTTGGAGGGTCCAGACCCCGCCCTTTTATTACAAAATCTGGAGTACCTCCCCGCCGACCTGCACCTCCTGGCCGCCATCCCGGCGGAGCCCGCGGCGCCCCCTGTTGGCCGCTCTGGCGATGCGCGCGGCGATCGCGTCCTCGCGGCGGCGTCGCACGCCCAGCGACTCCAGCCCCTCTGCCCGCCAATCGACTCGAGCAGGGGATCGACTAGTGATCGTGTTTTTATTCGTTGTTTTGCCGATCGACGCGGGCCCTCGCATCCCCCCCCTCCTCCCCCAGTCATGGCTGTTTTTGGCGCCTGCTTCAGGCAGGCGGAGTCCCTCCTTCACAGGACGCACGGTTACAAACAGTCGCACCACGCAGAGGTCCAGAGCAAGATCTCCCTCCCTCCCACCTTCTTCGCTCAATGCCGAAACGCCGACTAAGAACACGCCCACCTACATAATTGATGCAACCCAAACTTGATCCGTTCGTCGAATCTCTGGGTAGTCGAAGGCCAGACTGTCAGATTGGATTGGGCCCCGGGGGCCAATCTGGCCCGGCCAAACTGGATGATTTGAGTTATTCGCCAGACTGGATTCGCGTTGGTTCCCTCGCCAGATTGCCCCCGTTTGCCAGATTGGGCCTGCCAGATTGGCGCCAGATTGGCTTCGATTACCCAGAATCTACGAAGGATGCGCATACTGCTCGCAGATCCACGAGCATCCTAGGTGTTGTTTGTTGGAGCAGCCACTCTGGGGTGGGTCAATGCTGCAGTCGATCCCCTGCTCGAGCGAGTCCAGCTTCCCTCCCTCCTCCCTCCTCCCTCCCTCCTCCTCCCTCCTCCTCCCTCCTCCCTCCTCCAGTTGCTCGAGGGAATCCCCACCCAGCTCGCAGCATTCACTCACGTACCGAACCCTACTTACTCCTCGCGCGCTCCACCCGTCAGGAGCACAACGACTGGGATGCTGGCGCGAGCGCAGAGCGCGCCCGCCAGGCCCGCGTCGGCGCGGCTTGCCGCGCTGAGAGTGGTTTTGTACAATCCCCTGTCGCTGATGGAGCCGCAGCGCATCACATATATATGGCAAACACTGAGAGCAGATATTGTAGTATTACCAGGTACAAGATTGAGGGCAAGTTCGGGGAAACCAGTAAGTATAATGAGTCTTGGGAAGGGGGCCGCGGCGCTCCATGCGGGATGGGTCAAAGGCCCATACACCAACATGCATGCAGGATGCACGATCATGTTCGGAGGCCTGTTCAGAGCAAAACATCTTAGAGCGATCGCTACCCCTTCCGACTACGTTGTAGGGAAGGGGGATGGCGATTCGACTAAGAAACAAGAGCGTGGACCTCAGTATCATAACTACGCACATGCCGCCGCTGAGTGACGAGTCCGCCAACAAGAGGAGAGCCCTTGAGAAAGGCTCGACACAGTTACTCCAGTGGGCCTCCAGGGAGCTCAAGGCAGTCCCCACACGGTCCACACCAATATTACTGGGAGATTTCAACACACCGATGGGGCTCCGAGGGGGCCTCCCAACGGTTGCGCCCACAACGCGCTACGATTGGTGGGGGGAGGAGAGGCTCCTGGCGGGCCCTTAGAATGTGGGAGAACAAAACGTCGTGGGAAATAGGATTCAGGATGAGATTCTAGGACCGCTGGAGATGTATGACGCCGTCACAGCAGACAGTCTCGGAGGGCCGACTTTCTTCGGGGACAAAGCTAACAGCGGCACGATCGACCATATCTGTTAGCCGCTCGCGGTTCGAGAACAGGTCAAACCATGTCGGGTATTATGGCCACAAGCGAGACAATTACAGATGCTACCGAGTCGCATGCCGAGAGACCATGTGCCAATATTGCTCAGACTGACCGTGCATCGACGGCATGAGGAAAAGACGGAAGCTAAACCACGTTGGGACCGGGACAAGCTTGCCGCGGCTGCGCAGAAGGGGCCAAGGCAAGGAACCATTATTGGAGGAGCTCGAGCAGGTGATGCAACGACTATTGCCACAGATATCCCCCCTGGCCCAGCAGGGCCATGTTGATGCGGTGTGGAAGATGTGGGCAACGGCCGTGTGCGACACAGGATTGAGACACTTCCAGCTCGTTAGACCACCACCTGATCCCGAACTGACTGAACTACGCAGACGCCGACTCGAGCTTGTACGACGGCGACGCGGACTACGAGAGGGATTCCAGTTATCATATTCACATCTTCCAGCCTTTTATTATCAGAGAGTGACGGAGACCAGGATGGACGCCGAAGAAAGTGCGCAGACATCATCAATGGAGATGCCGCACGTGCCAGAGGTAACCCGCATGAGAGAGGGGGCCAAGTACAGAGATACGAGGAGCGCAGGGACATCATCAAGTTCACCATACATCCAGGGTGCAGCGAACAGTTCAGAGGCATCGGGCTGTGCTGGATAGAGAGAGGACCAGAGGCCCTTGAGGAGTATTTCGCCAGGGCCGATTGCAACACCAGCGGGTCCAGAGTTAATGGAGCTTCAGGAGATCAAGCTCCGCCTGCGCCGCGAGACGAGAGATAACTGGCGTCGAACGAGGCGGATGTTGGAGCGGGAGACAGTGGAGGCGCACAGAGCTAGACGGCACGCAGAAGAACACAAACTTCTTTTTCTGTTGGCAGCAAAGCATGGAGGACCGGGTCGGAGACGTTATAATTTGCCGCAGACGCACGAGACCAAGTCGGAGTGGGAACAGCAGCTCAGCATGTCCGCAGCGGGGGGGGGGGGGCATGGAAGCGATGCCGATGGACGCAGAGCGCTTTTTTTTTTTTGGGGGGGGGTGTTCTTCTGCTTCTCAGCCTCCCCCACTACCAGGAGAGGGAGAAGGGGGGGGGGAGTGAGTTCTTTGGCCGCAGAGATTTTCAGATGACGCTGCGCCAGCTTCGCAAGAGCCAGAAGCGAAAAGCAGCACCGCCATGGAGTTTCCCAGTAGAGTTGCACCTCATGGCCGCGGACCCCAAGTATCTATCTGTGGGGCCTGAGGGACGCCTAGGACTTGGATAGTGATGTGCGCAACAGCCGTTTTCAACGTCCTCCTTTGGATTGGGGGCGGGTGGTCTGGTGAAGTAAAAGTGCCTATTCTGAGGAGTGGTATGTGTGGTATTTAGTATATACGCAACCAAACATATGAACACATGCGTCTCGAAATCAAACGTTTGCCCGCGCCGTTGCTCATGTAACAACACGACACCAACGAACTATTAGTCACGCGCCACCCGTAACAACAGCAATGCTTCTTAAAAGGGGCATAATTTCTCTCAGAGTTGTTTATAATAACGAGTTCCGCTGGCCAGTGGTAACGGGTGTCGCATGATGATAAATAGTACTTTCCCGTTGTGGTGCTGCATTGTTTGGGGGGGCGTGCATTCGATAGCGGGTCCTTGTTGTTGTCGTTTGCGGTGGGTCCTGGTCCATGTTGAAAGGGCCCATCTTTGAAAACGAGGAGGTGTGCACCATTAGAGTTTAGTATTCTGTAGCCGTTTTGGCTTTTCGAGCAGCGTGGATGCCGTTGCCTTTAGTCGTTCGCTTGCATCACATTGTACGCAGATATGGTTGTATCGTCGACGGTGTTGCTGCCATATCAGATGTTTTTGGCGCGCTGGAGTTTTTCGACGATGTCGACACCGAGTGGATCCAGGACAGTAGCCACCTCGCGCGGCTGATCAGGCAGTCTGGCGAATTGTTCTTGATCCCTGGATGTTCCAAGCGATGGCCGAAGTGGGACTTAGATGTGCTCCAGAGGCTGTTGGTCGTGCTTGGCATTCACATGGACGACGACGCGTGGACATCTGTGCGACTAGGATGCGTGGGAACGCAAATGAATATCGCCAACCCCTCCCCAGCGGATTGATTGTCGAGGGGTGAGCCGGTGCGAAGGCAGGAACGATGATAAGAACGAAATGGGGCGGATGATAGGAGAGGGAGGAGGAGGCTGAGGCCAGGGACGAAGCACTTATCTTGGCGCATCGATCCGCTTGACTGCCAGTCGTTTTGGGGATCGATCTCTCCCCGCCCCCTGATTGCCTTTCCCTTTCTGCCCTCCGCCCCCCCCGGGGGCTGGGGGCCGGGGGAACGGCGGCACCAGGGGGGGGCGTTGGACGAGGAGGAAGAGGAGGAGGAGGAGGAGGAGGAGGAGGAGGAGGGGGAGGAGGAAGAACGATACGAAGAAGGGGGATGAGAAAGAGGACAAGGAAATGGAGGAGGAGGAGGAGGCGGAGGAGGAGGAGGAGGAGAAGGAGGAGGAAAGGGGGGGGATTGGGGGGGGGGATTGGGCGGGGGAGATATCGACACCCCCTCGCGCGGGCCGCCCCCGCAGATCTCGAGCACGTCGTGCACGAAGCAGCCGCCTTGCCGGAGGGCGGCGGCGGCGTCGTCGCGCGGGCAGGCGTCGACATCATGAGGAGCGAGGGGGCGGGGTCTCCCTCTCTTCCTCCGTCCTCTCTTCTTCTTCCACCTCCTCATCCTCATCCATTTGCCCTACCTAGGCTCTGCCTAGAAGGGTTCTTACTTTATAACCTTAAAAGGCCGCGCAGTGTTCCACGCGCCAGGCGGTTCCCCCAGGGTCCGCCCCGCGGTTCCCCCAGCGACGCTCCCTTAGCCTAGCGTAGCGTTGCGCATCTCATCTTAGCTTAGCTTGGAGTCTACCTTAGCTTAGCGTTGCTTATCTCATATTAGCTTAGCGTAGCTTAGCTCAGCTTAGCTTCATCTTAGCTTCGCTTAGCTGTAGCTTAGCTTAGCTTAGATTAGCTTAGCTTAGCTCAGCTTTCGCTTCTATTTAGTTTAGCTGTGGCTTAGCTGCAGCTTAGCATTAGCTTTACTTTAGCTGAAAGTTAGCTTAGCTTTAGCTTAGCGTTAGCTTAGCTTCAGCTTAGTTTAGCTTCGCTGTAGCTTCGCTTCAGCTTAGCTATATATTGGCTACAGCTTAGCTTTAGCTGAGCTTCAGCTTAGCTTCAGCTTATCTTCAGCTTAGCTTTCGCTTAGTTTGAGCTTAGCGTTAGCTTAGCTTTAGCGTAGCTTTAGCTAAGCTTCAGCTAAGCTTTAGCTTAGCATTAGCTAACCGTTAGCTAAGCTTTAGCTTAGCATTAGCTTACCTTTAGCGTTACTACTAATGCTGCTTTCCTAAAGGCTCCAACTCCTAGGTCGGGTCGCACTGGGATAATGTGTATTGTCTGCCAGCTCGATGCCGCCAGGAGTCGCTTGGCCCGGGCTGCTGTCTCGCTGCGGGACGAGAGGAGAGGGCGAAGGGACGATCAGCGCAAGATCGCCTCGCTGGAGGAGCAGGTTGCGCTGCTCAAAGAGCAATGCATCGTTCCGTGGAGTAATCGTGCAGTCGCGTACTCCAAGATTCCAGTGTTTCGCGGCGTCCACCTTGCTTTGCGCCGAACTCTGGCCAGCATATCTGCATCCAGGGTTGGCTTGATGTTGGGCGTGGACACGCACCACTCTTCTGTTTGCACCTGGGAGATTAAGACATGCGCGTCGCTGCAGGCGGCATGTCGGCTGGCCCATCAAGACGCGACGGACAGACTTCAATTACATGCGGCGCCTGGCCTGTTCAATTCGGTTTTCGCTGGTTTCAGGACCACGTTGTTCAGGTGCGATGGCACGAACACGGCGCTGTGGCAACGCAAGATGAAACTCCATGGATTGTCGGCGAAAACATCTATCAGATACCACGGTCGCCTCGACGTTCGCACCACTATGACATGGCATGCCGACGTGCTTCCCATTGTCTCTAACAGTCCAGAGGCCATCATGCTCCTGATCAAAAAGCAGTTGAAGAACGTCGGAGTGCCGCATTGGGACGAACTCTCGTCGCCGACGTGCCCGCATGCGCACTTATCATGCACTGACGCGGGCGGTGACATCAAGGCCGCGCGGGCCAACATCGCATCAGACGTTTCCGTGCTGAACCCCATGATTATGTTCTTGGATATAGATTGCTTGATGCACCAGTCGTCGCTGGGCACCGTCGACTCCTTGAAGGTGGCAGACTCTGTGCTGTCAAGGCTGACTGCGAAGCAGGCTTCCCTGGCGGCCATGGCCGACGTCGACCCCGCCGAATTTCCGCAGACGTACAGCTCCAGTCTAATGAAAGTGATGAACACTTGGCGGGAGCACGCGGCCACCTTATACTTCATATGGAAGGATATTGACTGCAGGTCCTGTCATATGGTGGAGACTATGCCCCCGCGGATGACCCCAACGCGATGGGGAACTAAGGACGCCTGTGAGGAGCTCATCCTGTCTTTGCCCAGGGACACCTTCATCGAGTCGCTGCGCCTCACGCTTGACAAGCGTACCAGGACTGCGGGTGCAGATCGCATAGCATCCTTGAGCCCTCCTCCTCCTCCTCCTCCTCCTCCTTCTCCCTCCCCGCCTCCTCCCCCTCCTCTTCCTCCCCCGTGCTCCTCCTCCTCCTGTCCCTCCTTCTCTCCTTCTCCTCCTCCCCCGAAATCGCTGAAAAGATGGCTGGGCGAATTTTCAAAATTCGCCTGATCATCTTTTGACGTGTTTTCTCATGGTTCTATTCCTCATCCAAAGGGCCCTGCGCGCTGCTCTTTTTTAGGAAAACTGCCCCGGGGACCCCCGGGGGGAGGGCTGAGGGCTGAGGGGAGGAAGCTGAGGAGTGGGATACGAAAGGGTCCGAGAGGGGTGATCAGTGTTTTTTGATGTCCTGAGGGCGGCTGCCAACAAACGCAAGCGTCCGAAGGGCGAGAAGGACTTGTCGGCGCATCTTGAGTGGCTGATGGCAGTTGATGAGGCCAACATGGGCGGATCCTCTCAGTATTCAGCAACCATGAGCAGATGGGCTGTAGATACGATGCGCGCTGTGGAGTCGCAGGCTTGGTGGGCTGTTGCTGCGATCTCCCACGCCGTGTGCAGTCCGTGGCGAGAGCTGCGGGCGTTCCTCCAGAGGCACGATCGGCTTGTCCAGGAGAAGGGCATCGGAGCACTAGCGGCCCTTGCATGGGGCGAGGCCCAAACTATGTACGACAACGCGCTCCTGATGACCGAGATGATGTACTGGGAGGACCTCCTGGATCAGACTCACGATGACTTGCTCTATGAAGTGGCCGCTGCGTGCCGCGAGTTGAGCATGATCAACGCAGTTAATTTCAAGATGAGGATTCTCGATCGTCTCTCCACCTACCCAGTCAAACTCCTTCTGCTTGCCAAAGGCCAACCTGCAGATGTGAACGAGAACAGGGCCGCCATCGCCCGGGAGATCCTAGACGATTCCACGACGGAGATGAACGTAGTCAAGTTGAAGGCTATCGCCCGGCGAGAGTTGGAGGAGTGCGCTGTCATGGGCCAGTTGGACCCAGACATGTGGATGTGGTTGCGCAACATATGTTCCCTGTGGCAAGGGGATACAGAACGCATGGAGTCTTTCAACAAGGTGGTCAAGGAGGAGGTCGTCCGGGCGCCTCACATTAGCCAGGCGCTCATCGCGGCGCGCGCAGTGAACAAGACATTCGTGCACCAGGTTTGTTCGAAGGCAATGGCTGCGGCTGGCCAGAGCAAGAAGAAGTCGAGAGTGAAATGGTCAATGGTTCAGGATTCCTTCATGTATTTGGTCGAGCGAGCATCGAACAACTACAACGGGGGGCTGGAGATCATGGCCGATGCGCTGCGGTACGACGTCTCCTACATCAAGGATGCCTCCAAAACTTTTGCGCTGATGAGAGAGGCCGCCGCAGCAGATGCCGCGCTTCCTCTTCCGCGCCCAGATGGCCATCCAGCCGTCGAGGGCGTTGCAGCTGCAGCGCCGATGCCAGCCATTCTCCCAGGTGCAGGTCCAGCTGCGCTCTTCGAGGTCATGGTGGAGGCAGCGATGGCTGGCGACGACCGCGCCGTTGTTGACGCTCCTGCTGGGCACCCGGACGTCGGTGAAGGCGCCCCTGGTGGCGCGCCAGAAGTTGCACCTGCTGATCCTGATCTGGAGGACTAGTGACCCCCCCGCAAGTCAGATCGTCGTGGCCTTCCACCCATCCCCCTGTCCCCTGTCCCGCTTCCTGCGCTGCAAAAATGAGGGGGTGGCATTTGGAATTCCATCCGAGGGGCCACGGAGTGGCGCAGGGCTGGGGGGTAGGGGCCGAGAGGGCACGGAGGGCCGACGGTTCATTTGCAGGGGGGTGGGCGGGTTGATATTCTCCTTCCCCACCCTCCCTCCCGGAGGAGGAGGGGGTCGGGGTCGGGCTCCAGTTGCAGCGTGCAGGACGACATCGACAGACAGTTGCACGCGAGATTCTTTCGTGAATGGAGTGCTCAGTCCAAGACAGAGGGCATGAAGGGGTTTCGGTCTGCAATGTGCATGGGGTTTGTTGGCGAGATAGGAACGTGGCGGTGTTTCGGCAAGCACGGTTACAACTTGTATTTGGTGAAATGCGACAGCGGCACGCCAAACGCTGAGCCTCTGGTGCCTGTGGAGATCGTTTGCTCACGAGACCTGATTAAATCAGTCAGGCAACGGCAAGGCATGCTGGAATACGAGATGTGGAAGCGTGAGTTCCAGAGTTTCGGCCTCCTTGGGACTATCGTATTTGGTGAACAGGAACAGTGGTATCACTGCAAATACAACAAGAAACCTAAACGTGAGCCGAAACCCAAACGGATTGAAGATGATGACTCTGATGACGACTCCAGTGACGACTCTGACTCAAGCGACGACGACGGAGGTGGTGGAGGTGAAGACGACGAGCGCGAAGACGACGAAATCACCAGAGACGAAACGTTGGACATTGAGGGGGTTGACGCAGCTGCAGCAGAGCAAATGAATCTCGTAGATAAAGATAAGGCTAAAAAAACACGCCGGTGGACCAGGTGGCGAGCTGTTTGCGACACTGGCAGACGATAGCGAGGTTGAGGAAGCGCTAGCTGCCTCTCACCAGGCTGTCATCGCCGCTGTAGGCGCCCATCCTGCCCATGCTGATCCAGTGCCCGTGCCTGCGGCGGGCGACGGGGTCGAGTTTGGAGGGGCAGAGGAAGCGCTGCGCCTGTGGAGGAACGGGGTGGATCAAAGCTTCAATGTCCTGGCATGGCGAGCGGCCCGGTCCACGTTCGAGCTTGGGCACAAGCGAGAGGTCGCCCTCATTTCATACCCAGAAGGCAACGGGGGGGCAAATCAGAAAATATCGAAAACCAAGGGGCCTCTAAACAAATGATAGGAGGCGAGGAGAGACGCGGGCAGAACAGGGGGGGACGAAGGGACTAAGGTGGGTAAAGGAGGTCGATCAGATCGTCGTGCAATTCGATTCGGTGTAGGAATTTCTTGTAGCGAATCACGGGCGTCGCCCAGGTCCCAGGGTCCCAGGTCCTATCTTGTCTCAGGGGAAGTTTGGGGAGGAGTACGATCCGCTTGTTTGCAGCTAACACGAGGCGACCATCAAACAGTCGGCCTCGTTCATTTTCCTCTTGGGAAGAATGCTCCACCGAAGCCTTCGCTTACATATGCTCAACCTGTGGTGTTGGACGAGGACTCGATCGTGTTTTCGACTTTCGCTTACCGCCCGCCTCGGAACTACCAGACCCCCATGACCAGAGTGATATTGACGGCAGCTGGTTGCTCTATGGAGAAGGCGACAGGGGCTTCTCGAGCGAAGATTGCACCGCAAGCGCGTGCTGTATGGCGTATGTGGGAGCAATCGATGAGCGGGGGGCATGCGTGGATCGCTGGGGGAGTGTGCGTGCTGTGCGAGAAGGAGCATGACTCCACTTACGCATGCCCTCTGTGCAAGCTCAGCAGTCACAGCAAGTGCTCGAATCTCATGCTCCAGTATTCCTTAGAGAACCCGGCCAAGAGGCCACATCCTGCAAAGCCCGAGGGGGCTGGCTGGCCAGAAATATTCCGGAGCATCGGAGTGCTATGCCCGATGTGCGCGCACGTGTATAATTAGAGCAGAGGGATGGGCGACAGCGCAAGGGAGACAGCAAGATTGCAAGAACTACAAAGGCAATGCTATTTCGGCATCCCCACCAACCCCCAGTCGCCACTGCCAGGCTGGCGCCCAGGCAGCTGCGCTTTGCCGCAGAGGAGCGACTGGGAGTAGATCAGGGTGCTGAAATTGATTGCCATTGCGGTTCTGCGAAGACATGTGGGAGGATGCAGGGAGGAGGAGGAGGAGGAGGGCCGCTGTCGCAGCCTTCAGCTGCGCTTGTGCGCGGCTCGCGGTCTGGAAGGCGAGCTTCAAGGCGCCTCCGCCGCGCGCGTGCCGCGCGCGCAAGTGTCTGCTCTGGCACTGCTCTGGTACCTTGCCTACCTTGCCTGTCTTAGCTGTCTGCACGATGCGTCTGACTGCATGCTGTTCAGTAGAAACGCATGCTGAGATGAGGAGGAAAGGAGGGAGGGCAAAGAGAAGGAGTCAGAGGAGGAGTTGCGACGACTCGACGTTGAACTGAACTTGATTCTTAAGGGGGTCTTGGGAGGCCCGAGCATGGGCCCAGGCCCTTTGGGGCCCAAGGCTTCTTCTGGGTGCCACAAAGCAAAGCTAAGAAGTAAGAGGAGGAGTTGCGACGACTCGACGTTGAACTGAAAGTGATTCTTAAGGGGATCTTGGGAGGCCCGAGCATGGGCCCAAGGCCCAAGGCCCATCGGTGGCCCAAGGCTTATTCTGGGTGCCAAGAAGGAAGTTAGGAACGTCCGAAAAACACGTTTGGTTCTGAAGTGTTTTAGCATCGCACCGCGATGCCAACAAACGTTTCCGTCCTTTCAAAATCCAGATGCGTTGACTAAGCCTAGGCGTCGCTTCAGGGCAATCGAAATCTACTACAGCTATTTAGAGCTCGAGCATATCTGCCCGCACCCCAGGCTGGCAATTTCAAATTTTCAACATGGCTGGTCGCTTCGACCGCCCGAGACAGCCATACCGGCAGATCGTGCGCGACGATGGCGGGTTGACCTCCATCCCTTATGAGGACACCTGTGTTCGATCCTCCCCATCCTCCCCCATCCTCTTTCATCCTCATCCTCTCCTTTGTTCGAGGCAACCCATCATGCATTGGCCCCCCTGCGTCGAAATCCAGTGGCCTCCAGGACGACTTCGACGTTCGCGACAGTATGATCGTCATTCCTGGTGGCATGTTCTATCCTTCACCTGCGATGTGGCTGAGAGATGACTTACCTCCGTATTACTTTCCGATCCACGCTAGTTGGCAGAGAGGCGGAGGTATCTCGCGTCTGGTTGACAGGGTGCACATGTCTCATATGCTTTGGGGAATCCCTAACTCTCGGGTATTTGGCGATGATCGCGGAAGAATCCTACTGTGTACGGTTTGTGGTGCTTGGCACAGAGAGAGGCACGGCGTCTTCTCTTGTTGCTGCTGCTGCTGCTGACTCGTCCTCCATCTCTTCCTTCTTCTTCCCATCTTCCTTCTACTCACTCTCTTCCTTATGCCTCTCGTCCTTCTCCTATCTGTCCAACGTACTTTGTCGCAACACCTCTCAGGGGTCGGGCCAGGGGGGCTGTGTATTGATGATGCATATCCTCCTCTTTATCTCTCCACCTCCTTCGGTCTGGCAACCGGTGGAGCGTTGGGCGCCACTTGTTTCGTGAGTGCCCGGGGAGAGTGATCTCTCGCTATTATGCTCGGGCGATGAGGCGGCTGAGCGCAGGCCACCAAGCCTATGCTTATGCGCCCAGTGCTCGCTGGCATGCAGTGAACAACACTTCTTTAATTAGCGCAAACCGAGCCGCGCCATATTAGGAGCGCGTGATCTGACAATGGTGGTTGCTTCGCTTTCGTGTATAGGGGTGCAGGGTCGTCGCTGGAATGAGGGATTTCCATAGCGCGGCGAACCCTGCCGGGGCAGTCGAGGCAGCAGCGTCACACAGTTTCATAGGACGACTCATGCACGCGACAGTTTGGTCGTGAACCAACACTGTTGCTTTTGCAGTATCGATGCGTGAAACAAGCCAAACAAACACTTTCGAGTTTCGCTTGCCTCTGAGATTGGTATTCGGTGAATATCCATGTTGTGACTCTCTGCGTATGTTCTAGATGGCCCAACATGTTGGAGTGACTCCTACACAGAGCTCTTGGATGTCCTCTGCCGTTGAAGGAAAATTCTACACGGGCCTATGGGTCACATCGGCCGTTGAAGGAAAATCCTACACGGGCCCTGGGACCACCTCTGCCGTTGAAGGAAAATTCTACACGGGCCCAGGGGTCGCATTAGCCGTTGAAGGAAAATCATACACGGGCCCTGTGGCCACCTCTGCCGTTGAAGGAAAATCCTACACGGGCCCTAGGGCTACCTCTGCCGTTGAAGGAAAATCCTACACGGGCCCTGGGGCTACCTCTGCCGTTGAAGGAAAATTCTACACGGGCCCAGGGGGTACCTCTGCCGTTGAAGGGAAATTCTACACGGGCCCTGGACAGCACCTCTGCCGTTGCAGGAATATCCTACACGGGCCTTGGGACTACCTCTGCCGTTGAAGGAAAATCCTACACGGTCCTAGGGCTACCTCTGCCGTTGAAAGAAAATCCTACACGGGCCCTGGGGGGCCACCTCTGCCGTTGCAGGAAAATTCTACACGGGTCCTGGAGCCACCTCTACCGTTGAAGGAATATTCTACACGTGCCATGGGACGACCCCTGTCGTTGAAAGAAAATTATACACGGGCCTATGGGTCACATCAGCCGTTGCAAGAAAATCCTACACGTTGAAGGAAAATTCCACACGGGTCCTGGGACTACCTCCGCCGTTGAAGGAAAATCCTACACGGGCTCTGGAGCTATATCTGCCGTTGAAGGAAAATCCTACACGGGCCCTGGGGGCCACCTCTGCCGTTGAAAGAAAATCCTACACGGGCCCTGGGGGGCCACCTCTACCGTTGAAGGACAATCCTACACGGGCCATGGGCCTACCCCTGCCGTTGAAGGAAAATCCTACACGGGCCCTAGGACTTCCTCTGCCGTTGAAGGAAAATCCTACACGGGCCCTAGGGCCACCTCTGCCGTTGAAGGAAAATTCTACACGGGCCCTGGGGGCCCCTCAGCCGTTGAAGGAACATCCTACACCAGGTTTAGGGACGACCTCGTCGTTGTAGGAAATCCCATATCAACAATTGATGTTCAGTGGGCTTAGTCAGCTGTGTGTGCTTTATTTTGCTATCTAAGATCACGCTGCGCACGTCATTACGCAAGTGTATAAGGTGTACAGCAAATCAACCATATGCGTGCACATGGTCTCGCATGATATATCGCACGCCACTTGCAACTCACATGCAAACACTATTCAACCACTCGCAACGACACGAACATCACTCGACCAACCCTTGCATATGGGTCAGTAAATACATACCATCGTCAATGCACAAGCATCGAAACACACATCTGCTAGATCGTAATCACCGTAGCCCATTTGGGCTCGACTTCGTAGCAGGTGCTGCTGCCACGAATGCACCATCGCATTCAACCTACATATGCAATCTATACCACGGTGTTGGTTGGCGTTGCTCGCCCTTGTTTCGACGCATCGATGTTGCGCTATGCGTTCGACGCTTCGCTCGGTGCCTTCCAACCCTCCGCTGCCGCGGATAACTGACGTGGGGGATCTGTTCAATTGGGTCGAGCATAGCATCGAGTTCGCGGCTTGGGTAACACAGACGCCCTTTGATGCGCTGAGGCAACGCATTGCGGGGCAGATCCCGAGCTTTGTTGTTTCAACGTCGTTCTCGGGCATTGGGGCGCCAGAACAAGCAGTCCATTCTATTGCGAGGTATTTGGGCGTTACTTCGACTCGTCCAATTTGGGCCATTGAATACGATCAGGAATGCCGACGAGAACTTACGTTACTGAAGGAAAGGCCGGACTGCTTATTTTGGGACATCAATGATTTCTGGAACCCCGATCTGAACGTTCGAGCCTTCTGGTCAGTCGATGACTACATATCTACCATCATCGCTGGTGGGTCTATTTGCTTATCTGGTTCAGCCTTTTGTAGCAGACACCAAGCGCATTGCACGGCAACGCGAGCATTCTGCACTATCGGAGGCACGCCGTGCCCTGACTGGTCAGCTACTGGATCCCATGGTGGGACAGATGGGCCAGACTTGATGGCCACGATGTGTTGGGCTGCGATGAGGTGGGAACTTGAAGAGGATGTGTGGATCAACGAGAACGTGGTGTCGTTCCCACCTGACGCGTTGTTGGCGTGTTTGGCTGCAAAATACATTATGTTCACAGTCGTCTGTAAGCTTTTTGATCAAGGATGGCCACAACGACGAAACAGAAGAATCACCATCGGTATTCATAAGAGGCGCGCAGTGTCAGGAGTTAGCTGGAATTCCTTCAGTTCGCTATTTCGCCGGGAGTTGACGACGTCGTGGAGAGTCATTATGCACGAAACAAATTTTGACGAAGAACTTGCGTGGGCTCGCAGTCGGCCAGGATCTTTATACATGAAGACAGTTCATCAAGCCATTGCAGAGCAACAGCACAAACCGTTCGTGCAGGAGATCAGCAACGACGAGAACTGGGTGAATGAGCTCATCGCAATCAAGAACAAGTCAGAGTTCACTGGCTCAATGACGTTATGGGAGTTGTATAATGTCAGTCGCTATGCCAGGCTTGCTGGTGACAGTGACGTATGCGTGGATATCGGGCAGGACCCTGAGAATCGAACGACAATGGGTACTGAACGCGTTATACCTGCTCTGATTCGTAATTGCCACATGATGTTCAGCCTGCGCTCGGCTCGGTGGTTGACATGTTCAGAATTGCTGCTCCTGCAAGGGTTCCCGGTCAAGGATTGTGCTAAATTGCATGGTGAGACGACTTCGTTCGATAGGCCCCGGCGCGTCTTCTTCAGAGACCGCACCTCAATGGTACACCAGGCTGGTAATACCATGAACACCCACCAGATCGGACTGGCCTTGCTGTGGGCATTAACTTGCACGAGAGAGAGGACGACAGACGATGCTGACTTCGCGGGCGGCTTCGCCGCTGGAGGATGCGCACGTTCTTCTCGCAGTGATCCTCCGTCCCCTGACGTTCCGCGCGCTACGCCGAAGGCTCAGAGCCCGGCAGCGCACTCGGCTAGTGCAGTGCAAGCAAATGTGCAGCATCCAATCGAGGACGATGCTAAGAGCTCTGGCGCCGACGCGACCTTGTCGGCCAAGGCGCCTGCACCTGTGTCAGGGACTTTGCTTACTAGGGCATCGCATAGGTTTGCCAACTCAGCTCTTGCCCCGCCGCCCGCGTTGCCGAGCCCAGCGCCAGCTCTGCAGCAGCAGCCAACAGAGGGCACGCTGCGCCGAGCTGATAGCACAAGCAGCCTCGTCCGCAGTAGGTCGCCGACAGGAGCGCGATCGTTCTTTCAGAGAGCCAGCGCGCCGCCCACGAAGCCAAGGCCAACCCCTGCTGCCCCGCGTGCAAAGCGCATGCTCGTTGCCAAGGCTAAGAGCGCCGCCGCCAGGGTGCGCCCATTCTTCGCAGACAGGGGATAAGCAGAGCATGCGACAGTTGCCGATGCCCTTACATAACATAGATTGGCATTCCCACTAGAATGCTACCCATCTCGCCTTCAGCGAGAGCAAGGCAAACATCGTCATCACCACCATAATCGTTCATCATCGTTCATCCTCCTCATCATCATCATCATCACCACCATCAGCATCATCATCATCATCATCACGTGCTCAATCCATCCTGCCCTTCCTCCAACATCCTCTGTCCTCCAGACTTTGCTGCTTGCCCCTGCGGCCCCAGTCCCTGACCGCCTCGTTCAGCGCGTGGTGGAATACGTCCAGGCCCAGAGCGGCCCAGGCTAGATCCTGCGGGGTTACCAGACTCTATCAGCCCCCCTCTTGCCTTGACAGACTAAGAGCAGGGGGGGGAACCAGCAATGGAAGTTTGGATAAGGGGGAGGGGGCAAGCGACTCAGGGAACCTTACAAGGAGGAAGGAGTTGGACGGAGGTCGAACAGTCGAACAGAAGGGGGGGGCCAGTCGATCCACCACCAGCCTTCCCCATCCGAATATCATTTGATGTTTTTTTGCGTCGTAGCCATTTGTGCTCAAGCCATTGCGGCTCACTTTCTTCCAGCGTGCTGCCTCTCCTCGCGCATCGAGACATCGAGATCTCCAGCGATGTCGCTGCCATCGGCTTACGCGGTCGCCTCATCGGCGAACGAGAAGAAGTGGTTGGAGAGTACGCTTGCAGAGATGTATCCAGGATTGGAAGGCAACGAGCTCCAGACGCGTGTCTTTCAGGACTACTTGATGGATCCAGCCAATCCCAACGTCAGGCTTCCACTATTCAACAAGAAGGGCCTCCCTGTCTTCCACCGGCACACCATTAACAATCGCAACTACAAGGCGCATCGCGAGAACCTGGTGAAGGGCATCTTGCAATCCGGTCTCCTGGAGGGCGTGCGCGGAGAAGCGTGGGCACTGCCCACTGCTGATGATGTCACTAGCTTGAAAGACCTTGCCGCCAACGCAGGCGCCGACATGGGTTGCCAGATGCAGTTGCTCTCGCACGCTACTTTGGTCGAGGCCATTTACGAAGCTCACAAGAGGAGTCCAGACAACAAGTTTGTGAAGCAGACTCTGGCTATCGGCGTGAGTTGCAAGGTGTTTTTTGGGCGCACGCCGCAATTCATTTGCCAGTACCTCAAAGACCTGCACAACCAGTTCCACAGGGGGGCCCAGAAGAGTTTCATCGAGAAGTATGAGAGCGCACATTCGCACGAGAAGGAGTGGGCAGCGCACTGCAGAGCCAAGGGCATCTGCGCGAGGGCGTTGCCAACGAAGGGGCCGGATACGTACATGAAGCAGTACTGGAAGTGGCTTCAAGAGAATCATCCAGGCGACTTCCGTACCTGGACGAGTTTCTTCTCGTGCAAGAAGGTATGGAGGATCCTGAGGGGGCGCCACATCGACGTCGAGTACAAGGAGCGGGCCGAGGATGAATGCGACTTCGCTGACCCATCCATCAGCGTCGAGGACGCGATGGCCGCCAACGCTGTCATCCTGGACGCTTTCCTCTCCTTCACAGATACGGCCCCCAGGGCCCATTTGAACCTGCTGCTCCTGGAGGGCCTGAGGATGGCGTATCCCGGGGTGACCGAGGAGCCCTCCTCCTCCTTCTCCTCTTCTTCCTCCTCATCCTCCTTCTCCCTACTCCTCATCCTCTCCTTCATCCTCCTCCTCCTCATCCTCCTCCCCCTACTCCCCCCTCTCCTGTTTCTCCTTCTCTCCTTCTCCTCCCCATCCGAAATCGCTGAACATTATCCCAGTGCGACCCAACCTAGGAGTTGGAGCCCCTAGGAAAGCAGCATTAGTAGTAACGGTAAATCTAAGCTAAAGCTAAGCTAAAGCTAACCTAATACTAAGCTAACTAACGCTAAGCTAAAGCTAAACTAATGCTGAGCTAAAGCTAAGCTAAAGCTAAGCTAGCGCTAAGCTAAACCTAAGCTAACGCTAAGTTAAAGCCAAGCTAAAGCTAAGCTGAAGCTGAGGTAAAGCTAAGCTAAATATAAGCTAAAGCTAAGCTGAAGCTAAGCTGAAGCTAACGCTAAGCTATAACTGCTAAAGCTAAGCTGAATCTAAGTTAAACCGAAGCTACATCTAAGCTAAAGCTAAACTAAAGCTAAGCCAAAGCTAAGCTAAAGTTAAGCTAATTCAAAGCTAAAACTAAGCTAACGCTAAGCTACAGCTAAGCTCAAGCTAAGCTAAAGCTAAGCTACAGCTAAGCTCAAGCTAAGCTTAAGCTAAACTAACGCTAAGCTAAGCTAATCAAACCTAAGCTAAGTTAAGCTAAGCTACAGCTAAGCGAAGCTAAGATGAAGCTAAGCTGAGCTAAGCTGAACTAAGATGAGATAAGCAACGCTAAGCTAAGGGGACGCAGCTGGGGGGACCGCGGGGCGGATCCTGGGGGAACCGCCCGGGGCGTGGAGCACTGCCCGGCCTTTTAAGCTTATAAAGTAAGAACTCTTTTAGGCAGAGCCTAGGTAGGGAATATGATCAGGCGAATTGTCAAAATTCGCCTGATCATCATTTTGCGTGTTTTCTCATGGTTCTCTTTTTCCTAAGGGTCCCAAGGTCCTGCGCGCTGCTTTTTTCAGACAAAACTGCCCCAGGGGCCGCTGTTCTCCTTTTAGGGGGGCGACGACGTCATGTGGGTCTTCAAGACAAAGCAGTCCGCGCTGGACGCCGTGAAGATAATCAAGTGCCCGATGGCTGGCTGCGCCCTCTACGCGAAGGCCGCCAGGGCGGCCGCGCCGGGCAAGGGCAAGGGCAAGAAGGGCAAGGGCAAGGGCAAGAAGGGGAAAGGCAAATCTGCGAAGTCCAAGGCGGCAGAGTCGGCGTCGGCCGCGAAGAAGGGCAAGAAGGCATCGAAGAAGAAAGGAGCTGCTGCGTCCGAGAAGCTAGTCGGCAAGATGACTGAGGAGGCCATCGCGGTGTCTGCCGAGATCATTGCTGGAGACGAGGATGAGTACGCTGATGTCGCTGACCGGCCCGACGACGACGCCACAGCCGCGTCCATCTCGGACATTGAGATGATCGGCCTCGAGGGCGATGATGATGATGATGACGCAGACCCTCTCATGGAGGACGAGGAGGTGCCTGAGGGCGCGAAGGAGAAGCAGAAACGGTTCTTGGACGACGTGTACTCTATGGTGGCCTCCACGCTGAGCATCGTGCCAGAGGACAAGCGTGACCTCAGGGCGATCAAGGATTCGTGAGTCGTCCGTCGGTCGTCATCGCGTGGCCTCTTCACCTCTCCTCCTCCTCCTCTCCTCTACCTTCCTCCTCTCCTCGTCCTCCTTCTCCTCCGCTCCTCGCCCTTCTCCTCCTGCTGAGCTGGGCGACGACGACGAGAAGGTAGAGCAGGAGTCCTGCTCTTCCTTCTCGTCGTCGTCGTCCCTCGTCCTCATCCTCGCCGCTCCTCCTCGCCCCCGTCCTCCTCTCCTCTCCTATTCTTGTTTTTTTCATGCCGTAGGGTGCGTACAAGAAGGCCCTGCACTTCTCCTTCACCAAGTCGCCCATCCTGACCACGGGCGACGTCGGGAAGACGATCTGGTCAGAGGTCCGCGCTGCCATCAAGGACTCGCTCGCTCGCGCGCACATCGACTGCATCCCGGCGTCCATGCGAGGCGCTTTGGGCACGACGGCAGCAGCTGGCTCCACGTTGGTTCAGGACGACAGCGACAGCAACGTTCGCAAGGAGGTGTTGGATCAGATCAGGGGCGACGCCACGAAGGCGCTGATTGACCAGGGCGCGGTGATCCGCAAATGGTTGGACGAGAACAAATACATGCTGCCTGTGACCCTGCATCCCGAGTACGTGGCCATCACTGCTCGCGCCTTCCCGCTCGCGATGGCGAAGCGCTTCCCCCAGTCCACCAAGGTGCCGCGGGACCTGTCGAACGCCGACCTCATTGGCGTCCTGCACGCGAGCCTCACCAAGGACGTCGCCAAGGAGAATCCCTGCAGGTTTTCATGCTGAAACATCGTCGTCACATGCCCCATCCATGCCTTTCTTTCCTCCTGCTCGTGCCTCCCCCTCCTCCTCGGCCGAGAGAGCAGAGCCGAGCAGTCCTGGAGCCTCGCGCCATCAGCGGCGCGACGGCATGGGCTGCTGGGCCTGCCGGGTTGGAGGTAGGAGAGAACGCAGAAGGGCATGGGATATTTTGGACGAGGGGGAGCAAAAAGAAGGTGGCGAGGAAAGGGGGGAGCGAAATAAGTGGAGGGGGAGGTGGGACGTGAGGAATCAGCAGCAGCAGCAGCAACAGCAGCAGCAGGAACGCATCAGGAACTCAGGAGGACGCAGGAATCTTGAGGAAGAGAGCAGTAGCAGCAGCAGAGATCCTGATGTTTTTTTCTGCTTTCTCACAGGTTGGGCACCGACGAGCACGCCAGCCTCGCGCGCTCGCTGGTCGTCGCCATCGGTAGTGACAGCGACGTTCCAGATGTGATCAAGTTCGCGTTCAACGCGATTGAGGAAGCGCAGTTCTTTTGCACGGCACGGGCTGACTACACCATGCAAGCGCTGAAGGTGCTTGCGTCGTCTCCGAACATCATCGTTTCGTCGGAGCGCCGAGCAGAGATCAACCGGAAGATGGACATCCTTGCAGAGTACAGCGACGTGCTCGTGGAATGCGACATCGGCAAGAGCATGCTGACATCGCAGGGCGCCGACAGTGACTCGTGGCCGTTGTTCTGGACAGGCCTTTTGGATTTGCCCTTGGAGAAGTCGAAGGTGAAAGAGGCCCTCGACTCGATCGCGAAGTCTTTGTCGGAGAAGGCTGATGCAGATACTACCAAGAGGGTGAACGACGAGATCGAACGCCGTTCGGCGGACAAACACGGAGCGTTAGTGGCACCGTCGTCAGTGGAGCACATGTTCAGCGCCGACGCGGAGGTGGCCAAGCAGAACGTTGCAAACATGATTTCAGTGGTTGGTGCGCACGAGAAGACTGGTCAGCTCTGGGCCGAGCTCTTGAAGCCAGAGTCGGGAGCACTGCACGATGACGATGTTCCCAAAGTGCCAGCAAGCCTCAAGTGCTCGGTCATGGAAGCGCTCTTGGCTGCGACGCACAACGCCATCGCCCAGCACAGCTGCGTGAGGTTGTTCGCCACGTGTGACCACGGCTACGACTTGATTTTCATCGACGAGACTGGCAAGATCCCAGGCGTCTGGGCGAAGTCAGGTGGCCCGCTTCGCTTGAACTTCTGTGGAGCCATCTCTATGTTGCCGATTGTTGGAGCGTGGAAGTTGTTCGAGTGGGACAAGACGATGGTCTACCTCATCCCGCCTTCGACAAAGCTTGCGACCGCCGTCACCAAGTACTTTTCACCAGCTTGGCTCGTCCGCACCGTCGGCATCAACAGCGACACTGGTGAAGCGAGTGAGGTCGCCACTACCAAGTTCGATAACAAGAAGATCGAGTTCGTCTTCAAGTATGCCGACAGCTACATGGGCAACGAGACCGTCACCAATATCGAGTTCAACCTGCCGGGCTTGGTCTTGACAGAGGAGGCCAAGGCCAAGACAGAGCCGTTCGAGGTCACGAGGCCCTGGAACGACATCGGCGAGGTGTGGGCGTTGCCACCCGGCAGCAAGCACTACAGCTCCAGGCTGGCCGAGGTCACGAAGGCGCTCAAGCCAGCCTCCGACAGCAAGGGCGCGCCTGCAGAGTGGAGGGAGATCGCGCGCCATATTTTGTGAGCGCTGTTCGTGCTGCGCCTGTTTGTATAGAAGCTACTGGGAAACATGTGGATTTGTCCAGTGCTTGTGCGGACGCAGCCGCAGACGCTACTGCGCAAGCCCGGCTGGGTTGCGCCAGCTGTTTTCGAAGTCGGTTTGAGCCTTCCTCAGAGGGCCTTCCTCCCTGTCATCCCTAGCACTCCGGAGATTCCATTCCCTTATCCTCCTCTTCTCCCTCTTCGTCTTCATCCTCTTCTACCTCGTCATCCTTCTCGCGACACCCCGACTACATGTCATCATTCTGTCATCATGTCCTCTCCCCTTCTCATCGTTCTTTTGCTCGCCAATTTTTGCTCGTGGTCTTCTAAGCGTCGCCATCTGACTGCGCGCGCGCGAGTGCAGACTCGCACCCAGCTGCGCAACAAACTACGGTTTGAATGAATTTAGTTGCCGTTCGGCCTGCGCGGAGCCTCAAGTACCTTCCAGAGGCTCATGGAGACTGTGCCTGTGCTGGTGTGTTTACACTAGGGCCTCCTCCTCCTCCTCGGCTCCTCTCTAGTTTCCAGCCTGCGCGAGGCCTCTTTGCACTGGACTGGGGCGTCGCTGGGGCGACGCCGCCCACGCAGAGGGGCTGGATGGGCTTCTCGCCTGCGCGCCCTCAACTGCCGCCCCCTTCGCTGACCTCCCCCCCCCTCCTTACTACAAGCCTTACTACCTTCATCGTCCTCCCTCTCCCTCAACCCGCAGGCCGCCTGTCCGCCGCGTCGCCGCGCCGCCCGCCGATTGCGGCGGCGCCCGGCTGGAATGCCCCGAGCCGAGGGGCGACCGAGATGAATCATCATCTCATCATCATCGCCATCGGTCGTCGCATCGTCACGTCATCAAGGAGGGGGGAGGAGGAGGAGGAGGA